GTGTTCTGTGAAGCGCTTTGGGACGTCCTCCCGACGTGAAAAGCGCTATATCAAATGCAAGGATTATTATAAGTGCTTTGAGACGTCTAGAAGACGTGAAAAGTGCTATGTCAAATGCAAGCATTGTTATTATCATTATTGCCCAGTTCTCTTTTTAAATGTGTATTTGAGCTCAGCCTCAACAGACACTTGACCCAAAGCATTTCATATCCTCAAAATCCTGTGCATAAAAATGTTTCTTCTAACCTCCTCCTAATTCTCCTTGAGGGCAAAATCCTGGGCTAATGCCCACATTACAAATTTACCAAGCCATGGGAATAATCTTTCCCTATCCCTTAAAAAACTTTCCAAATTTTGAAACTCTTCATTTAACCAAATATTATTCCATGTGTTTGTAAAGTACGAATGCAATTGTCACCGGAGCCTGCAGTCAACTTCCTAACATCACCTGGGAATTAACTAACTCTATCAGTTTTATTGCTCTTGAGGGATTCAGCACAGACAGATGAGCCGAATGGCCTTCTTCTGTTCTGTAAATTCTATGGTTCTATGTTTTTACCACTGTACTCGTCAGCTGACTCAAAGCCACATTCACTCATTCTGTAAATTTAGACAGTGGCATCCACATACAGACTCAGTAATTTATCTGCTCACTGTTACAGGAGATTTTCATATGGCCTTGTCATACTCTGTCTCCTTTAAAAAGCATTGTGAATTGCAGTAAAGCTGACTGATATCTAGGTAGTCGTTTTAATATACTGGCAATATTACTGAATAAACACACATTCACATTACATTTGTCTGGTCCTATTGATGGAAATTACAGACAGTGGAGAATATAATTGCAGTTGGTAGGGTTTTCTAGTTGACCAATATACAGAAGAACTTGCATTCGCTGCTGAATAACCAAATGCTACCTGCATTGACCAATGAATAAAAATCTCTTCTTAAAACAATACATTGTTTTTACCTAGGAAAGTAGCCATGCTAAATTTTCAGAATCAAAACAATAGCAATTTATTTTTGCATCCGGTACCTCAATTCATATTCAAAAAGATATGTAAGATATTGCTGCCTTGGTTTAATCTGCTTTACTTCTCTGAAATGTTTTACTTTGCTAATGAGAATTTGCTCCTGCAAACATGTCCTCCCCCTATCAAATTCTTGGCTTGAAACCATTATGCATTCTGCCAATTTCTCAGTTAGATGAAATACAGGTTATAATCTAAACAACTTCAACACAGCCTCAAGTGAGGTACTAAACACCTATATCTTAGATTCTCCTTGTTCCATTACTGTACACTCATAAATCTTTCTCTTTTCAGACCCACGGCACTATTTATATAGTGCCTCCACTTCTCTGTGTATGACAATTAAACTAGATTGCAGTGGGGAGACCTTTCCTTTTCCAACTCAATACATATTTTGATTTAAGGCTTGATCTTTATGTTAAAAGCACAAATGCAGATTAAACTGCAACACAAAATAAAATTGAAAGTCGTTTAATTCAGTTGCATTTGTGATTAATATAGTGACATGTTTGCGTACTGACTCCACTGGAGCTTTGCCTGAATCTAATTGATACAAATATCAGAATCTCAGGCCTTCTCCTTTGGTTATCTGTACTCCACGTAGTTTACAGAAAAGAGAGAAAGGTTTCCTGAGTCTGTCCAACTTAACCTAGATAGCTATAAAAAGAAGTTCTGATCTTCTTGATTTCAATTTCACCCAAACTCTGACCTCGGTTTTACCATGTGCTTGAACAAACCTCACACTGCATTGGGTACCGTGGCAGAAATAAATATTGGTCTTGAGAGTGGTGAAAAAATGATGTGAGAGAGTTGACTGTTTATATCCCTTTTTTTACAAAATATATATTTATTTGTTGATATATATTTACGCTTATCTCAGATAATATCAAACCCGAAAAAAAAAGATGCAACATGTTATTATCCCGTTACAGGACGCAGCAGACCCAACCCCTTGTGGCGGGGGACGTGTGGGGGGGTGGGCCTCTGCGCACTTCACTTTGGTAGAGGGACCAAGGCATCCCCACCTCGGGGTTCTGCTGCCCTTTGTAGAGCGCAGTTACAAATGGGGTCGTGTACCCCCCTCCCTATCCTCACCCTCTTAGTGGGAAGTGCGGACAGGTTCACAGCACATAGGATGTGCACACATTTTTTGGGAAGCTCCCTTTAAGACAGTCAGGACTCGCCCCAGTGTGCACAACATCCATGTGTGCACCCGCGCACACCCTAATAAGGCACACTTGCCGCTATCGAATGGCACCCCGATGTGCACCGTACGCACACGTTTACCCAAACACATGCCCGGAAACCTTGCAAACACAAACCCATACACATACACTATATAGCCAACCAGTCCCACCCCTGTCGCCTGTGTAACTGCTCCTACAGGGAGCAATAACAGGGTGGGCTAGTCCCAGCTCTGCTGTCTTTTACAGGATGGTGAACCTTTACCTCACTCCCTGCCGCTCCTGTTTACATCTTGCTGAACTATCTCTGAGTGAGCACAGTCAGTTTCAAGTGAGAAAGCCTAAGCTAAAGTTTTCATTTAGTACTTCTGTAAGAAGTCATAAAGATCATAGAACCATAAAAAATTACAGCACAGAAGAAGGTCATTCGGCCCATGGTATCTGTATTGGCTCTTTTAAAGAACAATTTTAAATTCAATTTTCAGTGAATGAGCATTCAATGCAGCACATGAAATTAATATTGATTAACAGGGTTGGAAATCATTTTGAAAAATTTGCACTGCAATAAATGGATAGAAATGTATATTGTGTGGATGAGTCAAAATAGTCTGCATAATCTATTTGCAAAAAGCTCTATTCAAAGCTGATTTTATTAAAAGTTAATGGAAATATCAGGGATCAATTTTTCTCCTTTCTTAATGGATTTCTAAATTAAGAAATGTGATTGTGATCTCTGCTAGTTATTGAGACTAGGTCAGTTATATCACTTCAGGTCAAGGGAACATCAAACCAGGTTGAGAAAATCTCACTCCAAAAATAGATATGAGTTGGAGCAAAATTCGATGGACTTCCATCTACTTTAAGGAATCCATTAAGAAGTACCACAAATCTTACATCGGGAACTCACATAGTCTAAGATGATACTGCAATGCAGCACTATGGGTGTTCTGCATTGTAGGAGATCCTGTCCTTCAGATGTGAGATCCAGTCTGCCTGTTTAAGTGACGCTAAAGATCCCATGGCACTATTCCAAAAGAGAAGGGTGTCCTGGCCAACAATCCCCCAATTAAAATTGGTCACTCGTTTCATGGCTGTTGTGTGACATTACTGTGCGCAATTGTGCTGCCACCTTTGCCGACAAATACACAGTCACAAATAGAGACACCCTTCTGACGTGATGAGGCGTTAAACCAAATGCAAGGACTATTGTTATTATCATTAAATTCAACCCCATTGTAAATGTCAATCATATATTTGGCCAATAGGAATCCATGGAGTCATAAGGATAACTATTTTGGGGAGGAGAGAGTGGATGTTTGCAGTTATACAAATCTTTCTATGCAGCTGAAATTCTGGGACCACCAATGGTACGTTTCCAGGCCCACAGTTGTGACTACACTGGCACATAGAAAACACTTCTTCAGGAAAGCCATAGATAAGAGCAGCTTCCTGCTGACCACTGCTGGTAATGATAAGCAAAGCAAAAACATGGAAAATTGGCATGTGAGTCACCTCTGTCTCTCTTTCCCCCTTCTCTCCCCACTATGAGAGACACACCCTGCTTATCTAATTGCTCATCTACTTCTCAACAGTATGTGTTGGACAAGGCTTGTGGGCCACTATGTGGAGTGTCTGTTGGAGTACTGCTGGAGTTCAACCAATGCAGTCAAAACCCAATTACTCAAATGCACTCTTCGCCGGTCTCCCCAGCTCTACTATTCACAAGATCCAGCTCATTCAGAACCCTGCCTCCTGCATATTTGCCTGGACCAAACTCCGTACCCACATTTCACCAGTTCTGGCCAGGCTCCACTGGCTCCCCATCACCAAACCGATCGACTTCAAGATCCTCACGCTCGTGTTCAAATTCATTCACACTCTGGCACTTCCCTACCTCTCCAACCTCCTCACTCCCCAATCCACCACCCGGCGCCTCCGCTCAACTGGCCTGCTGATTGTCCCTCGCACCCTCCGCTCCTCCATCAGAGGTTGCATTTTCAACCACTATGCCCCCAAACTGTGTAACACTCTCCCTCAATCCCTCTGCCTTGTGCCCTCGCTCTCCTTTTCAAGTCCCGCCTGAAAACCTTTCTCTTCGACCCAAGCTTCTGGATGATCTGCAGCTTGTGGAAGGAAGAGTTGGGCAGGCCGACAAGCAAGGAGTTGGTTTAGTCGAGCCTAGGTGTAAGAATTGTGTGGATGAGGGTTTTGGCGGCCTGAGGTGCGAGGCAATGGCGGAGGTGGGAGAAGGCTGAGTGGGTCATGGCATGGAGGTGGGGTAGAAAGAACAGTTGAGGGTTAAACAAGATGCAAAGGTTCCAGACTGGCTCAGTGAGATGGAATGTGGATCCCTGTATGGTGATGCTGTTAGCATCTGAGATGTGGAGGTGCTGACAAGAACCAATCAGCAGGGCCTCAGTCTTGTTGAAGTTCAACTGTAGAAAGTTAGCTCTCATCCAGGACTTGATGTCTGACAGACATTTTGTTAGAACAGCAATGGTCCTGGAGTCGAGGATGGAGACAGAGAGATAGAGTTGGGTTCACTTAGGTTCAATTCCAACAACAAAAAATTACATTTGTGTAGCACATTTCACATCAGGAGGGCATCAATTCCACTTGTTCACTCTCATTTTCTCATTCAGAAGGAGCCTTAGTGGTCTGCCAAGATTCAATGACGTTCCCAGTTCAGTTGAACATGTGTTTTTTTGAATCAGTAAAGCCACCAAGGCCATTGCTAATAAAACCATTTAACAGAACCCAAGCAGGCAAGATAAAATGGCTATACCTGGCCTGTTGAATAGCATCTACCCACGCCTCACAGTCACCTTCTTCCTCAATCCGAAGCTCCAGTGGCCTCTGTCCTTCATGGCCAAAGATTATCGTGAAGTAATGCTGAAAATAAAACGAGCAGAATATTACAAACTGAAACGCATGTTTGCACAGATAACACACAGGTACGTATATTATTTTATTTACAGGGAAAATCATGAAGGATTTGAAGATCTCTAATATCTTTTTCCAAAAACTCTATTCACGCAAACACCCTTTCTCCCATTTATTTCAAATATGATCTGCAATCATTGCTCTTTCAATTTCATGAAAATCTATCGTTTGTGCCAGAATTTTTAAAATAAAATTTGTTGTGAAAAAAATCCAAGCTATATGATTCAAACCTTGCTTTTGGCTGCTAAAGGACTTCACAGTACTGTATCTAATTTCGGTTACACCCCATTACCTGACTTGCAGTGCACAATTTCCATTAGTGAAATGTACCATTGCCTTGTGTGAACCTTGAATAATCAGTGAGTTTAATGAATACATTGCAGCAGCAGGAATCTGAAACATATATCAACACTCACAAGATCCCAAATGAAATAATTATAATTTTACTTCAGTTCGACTGTATTGTGTCAGCCTGACTCAGTTGGTAATACCCTTGCTTCTGAGTCAGAAGGCTGTGGATTCAAGCCTTATATCGGGACTTTGAGGCTCCAGTGAAATTTTAGAATGTGTGTTCCGGTGTTGGAGCTGCCATCCTTCAGATGAGACGCTGCTGTGTGCAAATTAGCTGCCATGTTACCCACAGATACACAAATAGGGTAAATCCTATGAAGCACTTTGGCACATCCTCCCATGTAAGGCACTATACCAAATGCAAGGATTATTATTTTTATTATTATAATATAACAGTGACTGTGTATTTTGTGGAAAAACGCGGCAGCCAATTTGCACACAGCAATGTCCCACAAATAGCCACAAAGTGAATGACTGGGATCTTTAATGTTCACCTGAACAAATTCAAGAATTGTTATTATGTTTTGTATCCATTACTAAATAATTCTTCTGAATGACCTTTACCTGGTGCGAGTCTCCTTCTTTAAAAGAATACTGCAGTACTTTTGGAACATATTGATATTTCTTTCATTAGAAAGAATATATTTTTCCTATTCATTTCTAGCAGGAATGGAGTGAAAGTTGTGACATGCGATGCATTAATTAACACCGGTATTGGTAGTACTCTCCACTGGGTCAGGTGACTGTGGCTTCAAGCCTCATGTTGAGATTTGAGTTCACAGTTCAAGCTACCACTCCAGTGCTCTACAACAACAAGATTAAATTTGTATAGCGCCTTTCACGTCGTGAGGACGTCCCAAGGCCCTCTACTGGGGATGCGGTTGCCCCAAATTGAACCTTTACACGGGGCCCCTGCATTTTACGAGACAAAGAAAACCAAATCTTATCACTGGAGCCGCTCGGAGATCCTGACTGGCTTGGAGCCTCTTATAATAGCATAGGTTACACAGTCCTATTGCTGCCGCTGACTGTGGGAATGCTACATTGTTAAAGGTGCCATCTTTCAAAAGGCATGTTAATCTGAGTTCTTGTGTCCTCTTCAGGTGAACATTATAAATCCAATGATGCTACTCGAAGAGCACTGCAGACCTGCCTGGCTCAAGAACTGGACTACCAAGACTGCTGCACTAAAAATAGGTAAAAATGTATAAATTACTGAACATAACCCATCTTATAAGGAGTGAGAGCCAATATGAAGCATTTCAGTTTTTTGAAAAAAAACAAAAATACCTGCAGAACACTTATCAATCAAGCCTCCTGCAGGGTGCGTGGGAGTTGTTGGATTTTTTTAGGGAGCTGAGCGATACTTTGATGGCCATTGATCCTGGCACACCTGAACCAAGGTTCTGTTGAAGGCCCAGACGGGGAGGGAGAAGGAAGGGGAATACGTATGAGTGAGAGGGCAGGGTAAAGAGGGGGAACAGAGGTGAGTAAAAAGGAAGGGTAGAGAGGGGAACAAGTCGGAGTGGAAAGCAAGGAGAGGGGGGGCACAAGTTTGAATGAGATGGGAGGGGAGGGAGGAGGAATAATTCAATGTGGGAGGAAACTATGTGAAGTATAGATATTACCTTTGTCACTTAGTTGTAATTAGTCATGCCTCAGAAGAGGAACTAAATTTAGAGAATTCATGACAACAAAAACAACAACAACTTGCACTTATATAGCACCCTCCACGCAGGGTAGCGTCTCAGAGCGCTTTACAGTGGCGGAGCCTGACTCCGAGCCAGGGAAGTGGAAGGTGGCCGTAAGCACACTTGAAGAGAAAGGTTTTCAGGTGGGACTTGAAAGAGGGGAGAGGGGGGACAAGGCGGAGGGATTGAGGGAGAGTGTTCCAGAGTTTTGAGGCGTAGTGGCTGAAAGCACAACCTCCGATGGTGGGGCAGGGGTTGCAAGGGAAAAGGCAGGAGGCCGGTGCAAGTTGGGCGGAGGCACCGGGTGGTGGATTGGGGAGTGAGGAGGTCAGAGAGGTAGGGAGGTGCCAGAGAGTGAAGGGATTTGAATACGAGATTGAGGATCTTGAAGTGAGTGAGGATACATGACAATGTATATTGCATAATTGGATAATCCTGGAGGCGAAGAACAACCCCAGGCTACTGTTTTCCACCACAACCCGACTCCTCCGTCCCCCCCGCCACCCCGCGCAGGTCATCTCCTCCAACCTTCACTGCGAGGAGATGCTGGATTTCCTTGAATCCAAGATCAAGGGAATTCGCTCCGCGGTCACTTCCCCTCCAACATCCACCAACACCCCACCCCCTCACTCCCACACTCCGACTGCTACCCATCCTCCCCTACTCACTTTTGTACCCGTTTCCCCACCCTCTGTCACCAAACTCATCCTATCCCTAAAACCAACCACCTGCTCCCTTGACCCCATCCCCACTCCACTCCTTATCTCCCAGCTCCACTTTCTTGCCCCACATATCACCGACATCATCAACCTGTCCCTCTCCTCTGGCTCTGTCCCCATTCCCTTAAAAACTGCCACCATCACGCCCACCCTGAAAAAACCCTCCCTTGATGCGTCGCAGCTATCAAGCTACCGGCCCATCTCCAACCTCCCCTTTCTCTCCAAGGTCCTGGAAAGAGTTGTCGCCTCCCAACTGCGCTCTTTCCTTTCCACCCATTCACTTTTCGAACCCCTTCAGTCAGGTTTCCGTGCTGCCCATAGCACAGAAACTGCCCTGGTCAAGGTCACCAATGATATCCTGACCATCTGTGACCAGGGCTCCCTCTGCTTCCTCGTCCTCCTCGACCTATCGGCAGCATTCGATACGGTCGACCACGCTATCCTACTCCACCGCTTGTCCTCCCACCTCAACCTTCAAGGCACTGTCCTTGAGTGGTTTAGGTCGTACCTTTCTCACCGTCTTCACTTTGTCTCGACGAATGGCTTCTCCTCCACCCCCCGCACTGTCTCATGTGGTGTCCCTCAGGGCTCTGTCCTCGGTCCCCTCCTCTTCACCCTCTATATGCTCCCCCTCGGTGACATCATCCGCAGACATGGAGTTAACTTCCACATGTATGCGGATGACACCCAACTCTACCTTTCCTCCTCTACTCTCAACTCCACGACCACCGATGTCCTGACAGCTGCCTGTCCGACATCGAGTCCTGGACGAGAGACAACTTTCTTCAGCTCAACGTGCGAAAAACCGAGGCCCTCCTGATTGGCTCACGTCAGCGCCTCCGCACCTCAGGCGCTGACACCATCAGCATCCAAGGCTGCACTCTCCACCTCTCAAAGCCAGTCAGGAACCTCGGCGTTTTGAGCTGTCCTTTCTCCCTCACATCCGCACCACAACTGGCACCGCCTTCCATCACCTCCGGAACATCGCCAGACTACGGCACTACCTCACCCCTCACGCTGCTGAAACCCTGGTTCACGCCTTTGTCACCTCAAGGCTGGACTATGGGAACTCTCTCCTCGCCGGCCTTCCCGCCACCTCCCTCCACAAGCTGCAGGTCATTCAGAACTCTGCAGCTCGTGTACTGTCCCGCACCAGGCTTCGGGACCACATCACTCCCACCCTCGCTCGCCTCCACTGGCTCCCCATCCCCCAGAGGATTGATTTCAAGATCCTCATCCTCACCTACAAGGCCATTCACGGCCTTGCTCCCTCCTACCTCTCCAACCCCTACCTACCTGCCCGTACCCTCCGTTCCTCCGGCTCCGGTCTGCTCCACGTCCCCCGCCCCAATCGCTCTACCATCGGTGGTCGGGCCTTCAGCCTCTCAGCCCCAGGCTCTGGAACTCCATTCCCCAGTGCCTTCGCCTTGCTTCCTCCCTTTCCTCCTTCAAGGCCGGTCTCAAAACCTTTCTCTTTGACCGAGCCTTCAGCTCCCCTCTCGACTCTCTTCCCCCTCCTCGCTCCCTCCCTTCCCTCCCCTCACCCTGACCATTTCCCCCCTGCTCGGGTCATGAGCCAACTGTGCAGCGCCTTGGGACGTCCTCCTGACGTGAAAGGCGCTTTATAAATGGAAACTTGTTGTTGTTGTTGTTGTTGCTGCATCCGGGCTGATGGAAGCAGCGATATGGATGGGTCCAAGGATCTTTTCCTGTTCTACATTTTCTTATATAACCAAAGCAAATGCTTTGTTTCTGCACTGCCATCTGATTCAGCAACAATTCATGCTAGCAAGAGCTATGTGTGAAAACAGTGTTTATGCTTTGCAGCTCAACACAGGAATAAGCGCCACCTGAGGTGGAAATGATACAATGTTCTACCTGCTAGACCTGGGACTGCAAAGAGCAAAGATCACAACTGACTTCTGACTGCCTTCAATCTCATTCAATGGGGTCTCAGTGGCAACTCCTCTGTGCATTAAAACGAATGCAGGTTTTTGCGCGCATTTTCAATTCCCGGGCGAGACAAAACCTGAGGCAAGTTTCCTTACTCCACACACCTCTATCTACCTAGCAGTAAGTAGGAACCTGGTTGTTAGTCGATTGGTAGATCACTTTCCAGGGATAACTATCCCTAATAATAATCATTCAATCCATGACTGTTTGTGGGACACTGCTGTGCGCAATTGGC